TACAGTCCCAGCTGCGCTCCAGCCATAGGAATTACGATATCTTAGGGAAGGTATCAAAGGACATGATGGAAATGGGCCATGACTGGGACGCCCTGCAGTACAGGATTAAAGTGAAGGAGCTGTGGAGTGCCTACCGTAAAGCCTGCAATGCAAACGGCCGCTCAGGTGCTCCCCCCGCAACCTGCCAATTCTACTAAGAGCTGGATGCGATACTTGGGGTTAACCCCACCTCCACTCTGAGCACCACCATGGCTTCAGAGCCGGTGTGGCGGGGGGGAGGAGGAGGAGGAGGAAAACGGGAGTGAGGGTGGTGGGCCGGATGGAGACACACCAGAATCCCTGGAGCCATGCAGCCAGGAACTCTTCTCGAGCCAGGAGGAAGGTAGCCAGTCGCAGCGGCCGGTACTTGGTGGAGGACAAACAGAAGAGCAGGTTCCCGGTAAGCGGTTTTTTTTTCGGGAAGGAATTTTTTCGGTGCGGGCTCTTTGGGAGAGGAGGGTTAGGCATGCATGCCTAGATGCGGAATAGTGCATTGATGTGGTTTATCACATCGTAGTAATCGGCCTCGGTAATCTCCTCGAATGTCTCATCCAGAACGTGTGCAATGTGCTTGCGCAGGTTTATCAGGAGAGCCACCGTGGTCCTTGTCCCAGCCAGGCTAATGTGTCCGTGCCACTGTGCCACGAGGGGTGGGGGGACCATTACTGCACACAGGCAAGCTGCATATGGGCCAGGGTGGAAGCCGCATTGCAGTAGAAGATCCTCCCAGGTCACCCTCAGCAGCGAGATATCGTCCAAGACGAACTCCTGTGGAAAATGTTGGGACAGTGTTCAGTGTAGGTGCCCCCTGAAGCTGTTGGCTCTCCCCAAGGCACAGAAACCCAGAGGACAGTGCAGCCCTGAAACAATCAGTCCCCCTTACTCACCATTTTGAGGCTCCCATGGGATATGTGTGCTCTGTTTCGGACGGGAAAATTATGCTATTGTGTAGACCCTGTGCATTTTCTACTCCTTAAGTGCAGGGCAAATCATTAGTTTGTCTGGTATAAACAATTCTGCCTCTGTTAAATGTTGCATTTTGCCTATACAGCTGCATCAACCTTGAGACCTCAGTCGTCCCTCTTATCGCCTGCTCAGAGACTGCAAAGACTCAGGAAGAGACTGCAAAAAAACAAAGAAGACATGCTGCAAGAAGTGATGCGGCAATCTATTAAAGAGAATGAGAAAGCACAGAACTGGAGGGAGAGAGAAAGCAGGATCCTCCAGGAAAACACAGTGCACTGGCGGCAAAGCACGGAGCACCGGCAGCAAAGTACGGATCGGCTCATAAGCATTTTGGAGCGCCAAGCAGATGCTATCCAGGAGCTCGTAGCCATGCAGAAGGAGCTGTACCATAAGCGCAAACTCCACCCCCCCCCCACAGCCCTTGTCCCAAAACTCTTTCCCTTGTGCCCCACTGTCACCTCCAACCCATTTTCCCCAATTTCCGTGTTCTTCATGCCACCAGCTGCCTCCAAAACCAGTATCTTCACCACCCAGCCCTGAAAACCACGACCCTTACCTTCTGCGCTCAACCCCCATCACCATGCAGTATAGCTATCCTGAAGTGCAGCACGCACTGCACAGCACACCACACAGGACATACACGAATCTGTGATTGTACCATTCCCCACTCCACCCCCTTGTTTCTTTTCAATAAATAATTTTTTTTCTTTTCAATAAATGGATTTTTTGGCTTTGAAAACATTCTTTATTATTGCATAAAGTAAAAGACTCCTTAGCCCAGGAAATAAACAGGCACTGCAAGTCTGCTTGTCTGCTTAGCAAACACTGATTCCTAAAGATTGGAACTACTGCACTTCACTCCCGTGCAGGGCACCAGATATCACTCCTGGTTTTCAGCCTCAAATTGCTCCCTCTAGGCATCCCTAATCCTTTCAGCCCAGGGCTGGGCCCCTGTAATAGCCCTGCTCTCTGGCTGTGCAAATTCAGCCTCCAGGTGTTGAACCTCGGAGGTCCATGCCTGAGTGAAGCTTTCACCCTTCCCTTCACAAATATTATGGAGGGTACAGCATGCGGATATAACCGAGGGGATGCTGTTTTCGGCCAAGTCCAGCTTCCCATACAGAGATCGCCAGCGGCCCTTTAAATGGCCAAAGGCACACTCCACAGTCAATTCGGCACCGGCTCAGCCTGTAGTTGAACCATTTCTTGCTGCTGTCAAGGCTCCCCGTGTAGGGTTTCATGAGCCATGGCATTAACGGGTAAGCGGGATCTCCAAGGATCACAATGGGCATTTCAACTTTCCCTACCGTGATCTTCCGCTCTGGGAAAAAAGTCCCGGCCTGCATCTTCCTGAACAGCCAAGTATTCCGAAAGATGCATGCATCATGCACCTTTCCGGGCCAGCCTGTGTTGTCAATGAAACACCCACGGTGATCCACAAGCGCCTGGAGAACCATAGAGAAATACCCCTTCTGATTAACATACTTGGATCCTAGGTGGGGTGATGCTAGAATAGGAATGTGCATTCCATCTATCGCCCCTCCACAGTTAGGGAACCCCATTTGTGCAAAGCCATCCACTATTTCCTGCACGTTACCCAGAGTCACAGTTCTTCTGAGTAGGATGCGATTAATGGCCCTGCAAACTTGCATCAACACGATTCCAATGGTCGACTTTCCCACTCCAAACTGGTTCGCGACCGATCGGTAGGTGTCTGTAGTTGCCAGCTTCCAGATTGCAATAGCCACCCGCTTCTCCACTGGCAGGGCAGCTCTCAATCTCGTGTCCTTGCACTGCAGGGTGGGGGCAAGCTCCTCACACAGTCCCATGAAAATGGCTTTTCTCATCCAAAAGTTCTGCAGCCACTGCTCGTCATCCCAGACTTCCATGACCATGTGATCCCACCACTCAGTGCTTGTTTCCCGAGCCCAAAAGTGGCATTCCACGGTCCTGAGCATGTCTGTGAATGCCACAAGCAATTTCGTGTCATACGCGTTACATGGCTCGATAGCATCATCGGACTCCTCACTCTCACTGTCACTTTGGATCTTAAGGAATAGTTCGACAGCCAAACGTTACATGCTGGCAAGATAAGTCAGCATACGCCTCAGCAGTTCGGGCTCCATTTCCCGCAGACAGATCGCGCTGCACAGAAACCGTTGAAAGATGGCGCCAAAGGTGGACGGAAACAAAGGGATTGCTAGGATGCGAAGCGATGCATCACAGGGCGTTGGAACAGGATGCAGAATGCCCCGCACGCACGCCCCCTTCCCACAACCCACAGTGCCAGAATGGGAAGAGGTGCTCCGTGGGATAGCTGGCCATAATGCACCGCTCCCAATGGCGCTGCAAATGTGGCCATGACAGTGTTCTGGGCAGCTGTCAGTGTGGACAGACTGCAGCGCTTTCCCTACTCAGCTGTATGCAGACAGGTTTAACTCACAGCGCTGTACAGCTGCAAGTGTAGCCAAGGCCCTAGTAGCCATGACTCATAGGCTGTTTGAAACATTCACAGGAAGGCTAAGCTTTTCCATGGTCCATTGTTTTTGTTGATGAGCCATCAGCGCTGTCTGGCTTCTTCACTGTTGTACCTGAAAGGCTAGTTGTGGGTGTTACCCAGAGTAAGCACATTTGAAATACAGATACAAAGTCAATATCCATAACTTCAAATATAAACATGATCCATGCACACAAATAGGATAATCATATTCAGCCAATCATAACTTTTCCAATGACACTGCACATGACACATCTTGCACAAAATACCTCATAATTGTGTCCTAATCATTTTATACTCATACCACTATGCTGAATGGGGGTGTAGTGTCAGATAGGGCCTAATTTCAAGGCACAGGAGTTGGGAATGGAACTTTCCCTCAGTGTGGAACAGGAAATAACCTCCCAGCCAGGGCTGGGAAAACTTCCCAGATTCCCAGTGCTGGAGTCGGAATCTACTGACACTTCGTTAGTTACCACCACCCCCAAACTTTGTGGCAACTGCAAACTTTATCAGTGATGATTTTATATTCTCTTCCAGGTCATAAATAAGAATGTTAAATAGCACAGAGCCAAGAACCCATCCTTGTGGGAACCCCCTAGAAAGAAATCCGCTCGACCATGGTTCCCCATTTACAATCACTGTTTTTAATGTATTTAATATATGCCGTGTGTATTTTGTATCTTCCTAGTCAAAATATTCTGCTGAACCAAGTCATATGCCTTACAGAAGTCTAGGTATATTACATGAATACTATTAGCTGCAACCAAACATTTGATCTCATCCAATACAGATATCCAGTTAGTTTGATAGGATCTATTGTGTCTACACTTTTGCTAATGGGTACTAATTATATTACCCTCCTTTAATTCTTTATTAATGAACTCCAGTATTGGCTGCTCCATTCTCTTGCCCAGTATCAATTTCAAACTAACACTCTTGTAATTAGCTGGGCCATCTCTTTTACACTTTTTAAATATTGGCACAGCATTAGCTTTATTCCACTTTTATGGAATTTCCTCAGTGTTCCAAGTCCTAATTAAAATCAACATTAATAGTCCACCACGCTCCTCCACCAGGTCTTTCAAAACTCTTATTATCTGGATCCGCTGATTTAAACACATCTAACTGTAATACCTGTTGTTTAACATCCTCGTGAGTTACTGTTGGAATGGAAAGAGTGTCGGCATCAACATCTTATGATATGAGTACATCATCTGTTTTTCTCCAAATCCAGGAGAGAAATATTTATTGAACACTTTTACCTCTTCTGTATTATTTTTGATAATTCTGCCATTTCCATCTAGTAATTTACCAGTATCATTGTTAGGATTAATTTTGTATTTAATATACTTTAAAAAACTTCTTTCTTATTTTCATTGATTGATCATTGATTTCTGATAGCTTCCCTTACCAATTTTCTAAAATTCTAACCTTCTAATTTATATTCTTTACTATTGAATTCCCCTTTCTTCCATATATTTTATTTGGAGAATGTTGGGATTTCTACCAGGGAGCCACCAGCAGGGTCCAGAGACAGCCCCATCTCCTGTATCATGCTCTGGCTAGTAGGTATGTGATAAATGTGAAGATGCTGCTTCCGTCTTTCAGCTGGGAGGCACAAAGGTTCTCTCTTTCTACCTTCTAATCCCTTCTGGCTTCTCTAAGCAAGGTGGGGTGGGACACCGTTAACATGTGCCTCCCAGAGCGTCCATTTACCTGGTGCTGCTGTTCTGTGAATAGTGGGGTTGTGAATGGTGCAGCAAGTACTGAGTGTTGGACTCTTATTCTTTCAGGGGCCGGTGACTTTCGAGGAGGTGGCTGTGTATTTCACCAGGGAAGAGGGGGTTCTGCTGGACCCCACTCAGAGAGCCCTCTACAGGGATGTCATGCAGGAGAACTATGAGACGGTGGTCTTGCTGGGTAAGGAGTCCTGTCCCTTTGGTTATTAGAAGCTGTGGGGTCTCTAAAGAATCTGAGTAGTAATAACTTTATACCTTTATTCATCATACACATTTTGACAAGTTTCCTTGCCCCCTTTTTTTTTGCCTTATCTCCCACCCACTAGTAAATTTTTGGACACGTGCCTTTTTGGTGCCATCGGTCATTTTAAAATTGCATTTAATGTACGCTTAGCTACATTAATAACTACATTAAAAACTGTAGCTTTCATGCCTTTTCCTCATTTTAAGAGGAAAATATACTGCCTGTAGAATTCTATATTAAGTAAATAGGTGTATGACTCATACATGGCTTATGTGACAGTCAGATGAGCTCCTCTTTTGATAGGAGAGCGTATAATGTTTCCATTCAGGATCCCACAGGTGAAGGGAGAACAGAGCTGTGGGAGGGGAGGAGAGGGGGGAGTAGATAATTCTGGGGTGCCAGGACATGGAGAGCGTGTGTGCAGAATTCGAGGTAAGAAGCGGCAGGGAGGGATGAGGTAGTGAGAGATGAGGAGAAAACACAAGACGTTCCCAAGGTGCCGGGAGGTGGTGCTGGCTGAGAGTAATGGAAAGAATGGGAGGGGAGTGTGGAGGAAGGGCACCCAGGAAGTGGGCTGGGTGGGTCAGTGGAAGGGAGGAGAGGTTTGGGGATCTAGAGCTATGGGGGATCCCAGGCCTTTAACCCCGAATCCCTACCCAAGTCTTGTTGCTTTAGAGCCTACACTCCAGTTTTATTTCTGTTCAGTTTCACTTCATTATACATTTCCCCCCCAAATATTATTATTTTAACTCTTGACCTCCCTCTCCCACTCATTACCCCCCTGTCCGTATAACCTCCCCATCTCTAGGCACAGCGTCCCTGGCTAACCATCCTGAGTCCTTGCTGCATTCCTCCCTCTCACCCTGCTATGACTACCCAGGCACAAATGGGCATTTTGTTGATGATGTCACAGGGTGGTAGTGTAGCCTGTACAATTTTTACACCTATAAGATTACATATTGGGGTACAGTTTGCGCTTGTACTTGGCTACTCAAAGTTAATGGAGGAGATGGAATTTGGTGAAACACACAGAAACTTGATTTAATACAGACAGTTATAATTGAAATCATAGTCAAAAATCAATACACATAACGATTAGAGTAAGATAAGTGTATAAAGAGGGTTTTGGATTGTGCCTACTTACAAATTATGGACACCATTGGAAACAAAGTTCGAGGGGCAAGGGAGACCATCCACCCTGCTTCAGTATACACTGTCTTCGGGCCCGACAAAATGAAAAAATGGTAACTAGGAGAGGTATTTTCTCTGCTTTCTTATGATAATAGGATGGTGATATACCATATCTGCTCCTTTACTCTGATTACAATAATGTCAATAACTGCCCCAAACCATATGTAGCCTTTGGGAAGTCCATAATTAAGCACCAAGCATTAATATTCATGATTTAGGTCACTTATTTATTAATAATTCCAATATATGAATGCGGTCCAACTGCTAAGATACTTCATAGCAACCTAATTGCTAAAGCCCGCCCCAAATTTACTTCCTTTCAGAATCCTGTGGCATATTGAACCTGTTTGTGGTTCCTCGTTAGTCTCTCAAAATGAGGGTGCAAAATATCTGACCTGGGATTCTCTACTTAGGCCTATTTAGATAAATCCCAGACTTCAGCATAACTACTCCCAGAAAGCCTCAACCTAATATAAGACCCTGAACTGTAGCAAGCTTATGCTATGTCTACACTACCACAGTAAGTCAACCTACGCTGCGCAACTCCAGCTATATGAATAACGTAGCTGGAGTCGATGTACCTTAGGTCGAGTTACCGCAGGGTCTACTTACCTTAATCTTCTTGTCAGGGGTAGAGTACAGGGATAGATTGGAAAGCGATCTGCAGTCGAGTTGGCGGGTCTTTACTGCACCCGTTACATCGACCTCCGGTGGATCGATCTCAGAACGTTGATCCCGGCTGTAGTGCAGTCCCTGCCCTTAACCCATTTATTTATGATCACCTCCTTGCCCCTCCATGTATGTTCCAAGCTAATAAGCAATACTTTGATAATGACATTTTACCTCTAGCGAGTATAAAATTGCCCACAAGACATGAGACTAGGTCACAGATCATAAAATCAGGTCAGGGTCAACAGGAGTGAGAGTTTGAAGAATCTTGTCCCCCCTCTCCCCATGTGCAGCAACCAGAAGCTGTCTTCCCTCCCGGCTCCTTGGATCTTCGAGCCTGTCCCTCCTGAGGTTGCGTGGCCCAGTTCTTGTTTCTTACATTCTCCTTTTCCGGAAGAATTAGAGGCTGTTGCTCTTGAATTTTAGTGTTTAATTCCCCAGCCTTCTCCACACACTGGGGGAGTTTAATTCTTCCTCCCATTACACCTGAGTCACTAGATTTCCTAATTCCCCAAAATGTGCTTTTGCGATGTCACAGTTCTGAGGTAGCTAAGCCTTTGACCTGTCTCCATGGTCTGCTCAAGGAATGCTTCTCAGGTATCAGGTCTCTAGCCAGCCCCTCTTTATGGGTAGGGAACCACATGCCTCTCCTTTTTGACCAGGGTTTGTGGATTGCAGCTTGTTCTCCACTGTGTTCACTGGACTAACATCCAGTTCCTGTGCTTTGCTTTCTCTCTAAGGGCTGTGAGCAGTGTGTGTGTGTGATAGAGGTGGGGATTTTGGTGATACTTGTATGATACCAATACACACCTCAGTTTCCCTCTGTGATTGGTATTGCTATGATTATGATGAGCGGGCGACATGAGGTGTTTTGTCATGTATCTGTCATGGGGTGCTATGAATGGGTCATTAAGGACTGGCTGGTGCCAACCTACATCAGTGGAATACCCGACAGAGGCAAGGGAATAATTGTCACCTGTCCATGGGAGGATCTCCGTTTGGCTGAGTGAAACATACATGGACTCGTTATGTTTTTGGGAGCAGGAAGAACTGGGCTTGCAGATGCAGGGAGCTCTACCGGAATGAAGACAAATGAACAGTCACAGTGAAAGGAAACCAAAGCGTTTTCTACAGCAGCAGGGCACAAGGGCATTGGCTAATATGGACTATATTGTCTTTGTTGCTTCCCTGTGCTAATCTAAGGACTTTACAATGCTGTGTTTCGGTTGACTAATAAACCCTGCTATGTTTTAAAAGTCTGCCCAGTGTCACAGCACAAACTTACTCTGTTCATTGAATGAGGAACAGTCTCTGAACAGCAGTGTAGTTCAGCTGGACCTGCTGGGCAGAGTTCACAGGTTGAAATAGGAGTTTTGAAGCCAAAGGCTCAGTCTCAGGTGTTGAAGCTACATGGCCTATCCTTGTGGAAGAGTGGGACCCCTTGGGGGTGTAGTGCACTCAAGAGGCACCTCCCAAGGACTGTTTAAAAGCCAGGGCATTGCACAGATCCTATGGATCCATGACATTGTGCCAGTGCACCTTATGGGGAAAAGATATAAAAAAAGAAAAGACCCTCTAAATGTGTATTTACCATTGCCCCCTCATCAGTCATCATAGGAATCCCTGATCAGTTCCAAAGTGTATTAAAACCTTCCTTAAAGGCTTACCTGTTGGTTATCAGGTCATGTCAGTTTTGTTAGTGGGCTTTCCCTTCACCCTCCCACTTCCCTGGTTCTTGTCACGCAGACAGCAAGCAGCAAAAAGACCAGTAGTCCGAAGCACAGAGAATGCGATGTTTATTGGGGTTAGTTTCCAAGCAGGCATATTCCGAAGCCCTTCAAACCAGTCGGGATTATCTCTATACATGATAGAGTCTGTTGCCCAGTGTTCCCTTCCCAGCTCTGATACCGCAGAGCGTTTTCCCTGTTTCCCCCATCCCATCTCTGATGCCACAGAGCCTTGCCTGTGTCCCCATTCCCTGTTCCTGTTTCCCCCCTTTAAGAAACATGATTCCAATTTCCTTTCCCTCTCCTGTTTGATCTTGTTTATATAGTAATATTCTCTGCTATACCTTAACCAATCATTGTACTGAACTTTAACTAACCAATTCTAACATATTGTAACATAATTCTCTAACCAATTATATCCCACTACGTAATTTACTTACACCTAGCAACATTAATTTTACAGCAGACAAAAACAATTAGAGAACCAGACTGATTAACAAGGTAAAAGTGATGGCCATAAAGATAAAACAATACAGAAATGAGGGTTTCACAACCACAACCATTGATAAGTGATTTCTTGCCAGACAGGATGCTATCAAACTAAGTTTTCTTTAACCATCTTAAAATATGTTTCTTTATCTGGTGGTGATGGGCACTATCCAGACAGGATTGTCTTCGTAACAGCCAAATAGCACCTTATTTCAGTGTGACTGATTTGGGATGTGAGGATGTGACCCTATACTCCCCAGTTTATGGCTGCCCCTGCTGCTTAACCAAAGGCCTTAGCCTAAGAACAAGGCCTCAGACTATCCTAGTGAGAGAAGGCCCATACACAGGCAGACTGTGATTTTGATTCTTTGTTTTTATACCCCTGTAACTAGCTAAGTGATAAAAATACACCTAAGTTCTTAAAGTATAGGCTTTATAGGCAGCTTGAATATCTCTATTCTAACAGTGGGTTCTACTCCTTCCCCCATTCTGTGTCTGTCTCGTCTATTTAGATTGTAAATTCTTCAGGGCATGGGCCATCTACTATTCTCTGTTTGTACTTTGCCTAGCACAATGGGGACCCACTATTAGTTGGTCCTTAGGCACTAAGGTAATGAATATGATTTATAATAATAATAACCCTCCTTCCACTTTGAGCCAAGGAAGCTGGCCTTGGTATTTTACTGCTTAAAAATGAGCTGGAGTTAAAACCATGGAATATTCTTTGTGACAAATATCCCACAAATTCCACTGACCTCCCTTGTTTTCTTTGCCTGGAGTAGGGTTTCCAGTTTCCAAACCTAATGTGATCTCACAGCTGGAACGAGGGGAAGAGCCATGGATCCCAGACCTCCAGGGCTCTGAGAAAGAAGTGCTTCTGAAAGCTGCCTTCACAGGTGAGGAATTGGTTAAACCAATTCAACAACTGTTTAGGAATGCAGGAAACAATTGGGATGCCCTACAAAGACCCTGTGAGCTCTCCAAGTTCAGGATAGTTCCCTGCAGAATGGAATCATTATGGTGGATGTCACTCATGGCTTCCCACCTATTCTGACTGACAACTGGCAGCACATCCATCCCTGATCTCACTTTTCCCTGAGTGTTCTGGTGAGATGCGGACCAAGACTGATCCCTTTCTCTCTTCTCTGGGGAAGGGTTTGGGGAAAATCAGCTCCTGATAGGTTTGATCTCTCCCACACATATTTTGGTTTGTTCATCCCTTTTTCCATTCCTCTCTCTGAGATTTCCTTTCTTTCTGGCGCAGGGAGTGACCTATGTCTAGATTCTCTCTGTCTTCCATCAGGTGATGGGATGGTGAGTGAGAATGAGGAGGAGAAACCCCAGCAGGAAGATGCTGAGCAAGTAGAACCACATGGAATGTTATCAGGAAGATCCAAAGGGAATGTCTCCGGGAGTTGTGCACTCCGAGAAAAAGCAATATCATGTGTGACTCAGGAGATGCCAGAGGAAAACTTCAGTAGCCTCTCAGACCTTATAACCCGTGATAGAATCAACTTGGAAGGGAGACACTACACATGTCATGAGTGCGGGAAAAGATTCAGTTGGAGCTCACACTTTCTCACACATTGGAGAACCCACACTGGAGAGAAGCCCTACACGTGCTCTGAGTGCGGGAAAAGTTTTAGTCAGCGTTCAAACCTTATCACACATCAGAGAATCCACACAGGAGAGACTCCCTACACATGCGCTGAGTGTGGGAAAAGCTTTAATCGGAGCTCAAACCTTATCAGACATGAGAGAATCCACACAGGAGAGACGCCCTATACGTGCTCTGAGTGCGGGAAAAGCTTAATTGATAGTTCAAGCCTCAACTCACATCAGCGAATCCACACAGGAGAGACACCCTACACATGCTCTGAGTGCGGGAAAAACTTCAATCAGCGCTCTGCCCTTAGGAGACATAGGAGAATCCACACGGGTGAGAAACCTTATGGATGCTCTGAGTGCAGGAAAAGCTTTAGTCAGCGTTCAGACCTTATCACACATCAGAGAATCCACACAGGTGAGAAGCCCTACACGTGCTCTGAGTGCGGGAAAAGCTTCAATGATCGCTCAAACCTTATCACACATGAGAGAATCCACACAGGAGAGACGCCCTACACGTGCTCTGAGTGCAGGAAAAGCTTTAGTCAGCACTCACAACTTATCTCACATTATAGAATCCACACAGGAGAGATGCCCTACGCGTGCTCTGAGTGTGGGAAAAGTTTCAGGGAGAACTCACACCTTATCAGACATCAGAGAATCCACACAGGAGAGACTCCCTACACATGCGCTGAGTGTGGGAAAAGCTTTAATCGGAGCTCAAACCTTATCAGACATGAGAGAATCCACACAGGAGAGACGCCCTATACGTGCTCTGAGTGCGGGAAAAGCTTAATTGATAGTTCAAGCCTCAACTCACATCAGCGAATCCACACAGGAGAGACACCCTACACATGCTCTGAGTGCGGGAAAAACTTCAATCAGCGCTCTGCCCTTAGGAGACATAGGAGAATCCACACGGGTGAGAAACCTTATGGATGCTCTGAGTGCAGGAAAAGCTTTAGTCAGCGTTCAGACCTTATCAGACATCAGAGAATCCACACAGGAGAGACACCCTACATGTGCTCTGAGTGTGGGAAAAGCTTCAATGATCACTCAAACCTTATCACACATAAGAGAATCCACACAGGAGAGATGCCCTACACATGCTCTTAGTGTGGGAAAAGCTTTAGTCAGCACTCACAACTTATCTCACATTATAGAATCCACACAGGAGAGACACCCTACACGTGCTCTGAGTGCGGGAAAAGCTTCAATGATCGCTCAAACCTTATCACACATGAGAGAATCCACACAGGAGAGACGCCCTACACATGCTCTGAGTGTGGGAAAAACTTCAATCGGAGCTCTGACCTGATTACACATCAGAGAATCTACACAGGTGAGACACCTTACAGATACTCTGAGTGTGGGAAAAGCTTCAAAAAGAGCTCACACCTTATTAGACATCAGAAAATCCACATAAGAGAACTGTAACAAATGCCTTGATTAGGGCTGGGCAAACTATTTTTTTTTTTAATAATCACATTTGCTAATTCTCACATAGTGATCTGTGCACCATCTTCACTGTGGTCTCTCAGCTCCACGAGATGAGTTGCCTGCTTCTGCCTTTTGCACTCACCTTCTTTGGGGTCAGTCCTCTGATCTTTTCTATCAACTCCTTTCCTTTTGAGTCATAGGAGTGTGTCCCCGTCCAGCCAGGAATGTTCATCAGCTCCAGGTGGGAGACAAAGGTTTGATTCCCAACAAGCTACACTGAGGCAAAACTACCTGTGCCTTACAGCCACTAGGACTGTACATGGCATTGGCTGCTCAAGTTAGTGATCTTGGTGTAAAAAGACAATTATAGTTGTAGTGTAGATCCAGCCCAGGTGCAGTGTTTGGCATTAGCTTTCCCCTTGACCAGCCCTAAACTACATCACTTTTCCTAGTCTAAACAAACCCTGAGCATCACGGTTATTCTGATGTTGCTTCAGGTTGTACTGGAGAGCAGATATTTTTACAACCATTTTCCTCACTTAAAATATATTGAACTATAAGAAAGAGCAGGAACAGGGCAGGGATAGGGAAAAATGTCATTTCACCCTCTGTAACAAGAGAAGAAGATAGGGTAAATCAAAGGGATTCCCTTATTCCTCATCACCATCCCAATCCCCTGTTCAACTGGTTAGGTCAATATTTTTTCTAAAGGGCTGGGAAGAGGATTCCCTAGTAAATGACTTGTAACTAAGCAAAATACCCATGCATTTGGCTCCCAAAGCAGTTGTGGCCCAGGCCCTGCAGGAGGTCGCTCCTGAAGATCTGCTTCCTAATCAGGTGCATGTTGCCTATTATTTGGGAAATGCAATCCCTATCTGGTTAGAAATGGGAAAAATGGAAGATTCTGCAAATGAGTAGAAAATGAAATCCATGTTGAATGTGATAAAGCTGCAAAAATATGCCTATTTTTAATAGATTCCTGACATTTGGTATCTTACAGGGATTCTAAGCCGCACCTGAATATAGTCCCTAATTTAAATCTGTGCCATCAGATTAAAGACATACAAGAGCATAGTTGGGGGAGTTATACCTCACTATCACTACTGATATGTTGTGTGGTTAGTGAAGAATTCTACGCCAGAGAAGTATAAAATTACTCCAAGTAAGATCAAAGATTTGACAAGAACTCATGTAGAAATTGCAGGTAGTGGTGGTTGATTTTCATCCCAGAGATGGAAGCTATGGTGACCTGTGGCCGATGTAAACTGTTTTTAGAACACTGCTCCCTAGTTAAGTGGCATTGATCACACTCCTAAAGATGCCATTATTAAATTGGGCACAACTGTCTTTTACCATTTGGATCCAAAGTTTCATGAAGCACAGAGAGAATCATAGAAGATTAGGGTTGGAAGAGACCTCGGGAGGTCATCTAGTCCAACCCCCTGCTCAAAGCAGGACCAACCCCAACTAAATCATCCCAGCCAGGGCTTTGTCAATCTGGGCCTCAAAAACCTCTAAGGATGGAGAGTCCACCACCTCCCTAGGAAACCCATTCCAGTGCTTCACCACCCTCCTAGTGAAATAGGGTTTCCTAATATCCAACCTAGACCTCCCCCGCTGCAACTTGAGACCATTGCCTGTTGTTCTGTCATCTGCCACCAGTGAGAACAGCTGAGCTCCATCCTCTCTGGAACCCCCCTTCAGGCACTTGAGGGCTGCTATCAAATCCCCCCCCCACTCTTCTCTTCTGCAGACTAAACAAGCCCAGTTCCTTCAGCCTCTCCTCATCATTCATGTGCCCCAGATCCCTAATCATTTTTGTTGCCCTCTGCTGGACTTTCTCGAATTCTCCACATCCTTTCTTTAGTGGGGGCCCCAAAACTGGACACAATACTCCAGATGTGGCTTCACCAGTGCCGTATAGAGGGCAATAATAACTTCCCTCGATCTGCTAGCAATGCTCCTACTAATGCAGCCCAATATGCCATTAGCCTTCTTGGCAACAAAGGCACACTGCTGACTCATATCCAGCTTCTCATCCACTATAATCCCCAGGTCCTTTTCTGAAGAATTGCTGCTTAGCCAGTCGGTCCCCATCCTGTGGCGGTGCATGGGATTCTTCCCTCCTAAGTGCAGAACTCTGCACTTGTCCTTGTTGAACCTCAACAGCTTTCTTTTGGCCCAATCCACTAATTTATCTAGGTCACTCTGGACCCTATGCCTACCTTCCAGCGTATCTGCCTCTCACCCCAGTTTAGTGTAATCTGCAAACTTGCTGAGGGTGCAATCTATCCCATCATCCAGATCATTAATAAATATGTTGAACAAAACCGGCCCCAGGACTGACCCCTTGGGCACTCCGCTTAATACTGGCTGCCAAATAGACATTGAACCATTAGTCACTACCCGTTAAGCCTGACAGTCTAACCAGCTTTCTATCCACTTTATAGTCCATTCATCCAATCTGTACTTTTTTAACTTGCTGATAAGAATACTGTGGGAGCCCATATCAGAAGCTTTGCTAAACTCAAAATATATCACATCCATTGCTTTCCCCATATCCCCAAAGCCAGTTCTCTCATCAAAGTAGGCAAAGAGGTTGGTCAGGCATGACTTGCCCTTGGTGAATCCATGTTGACTGTTCCTGATCACCTTCCTCTCCTCCAAGTGCTTCAAAATGTTTTCCTTGAGGACCTGCTCCATGATTTTACCAGGGACTGAGGTGAGGCTGACTGGTCTGTAGTTCCCTGGGTTCTCCTTTCCTTTTTTAAAGATTGGAATTATATTTGCCTTTTTCCAGTCATCCTGGACCTCCTCTGATCACCACGAGTTTTCAAAGATAATGGCCAATGGCTCTGCAATCACATCAGCCAATTCCCTCAGCATCCTCAGATGCATTAGATTAGGACCCATGGACTTGTGCATGTCCAGCTTTTCTAAATAGTCCTTAACCTGTTCTTTCACCACTGAGGGCTGCTCACCTCCTCCCCATACTGTGTTGCCCAGGACAGCAGTGTGGGAGCTGACTTTGTCTGTGAAGACCGAGGCAAAAAAAGCATTGAGTACTTCAGCTTTTTCCACATCATCTGTCTCTAGGTTGCCTCCCCCATTCATTAAGGGTCCCACATTTTCCCTGACCTTTTTCTTATTATTAACATACCTGTAGAAACCCTTCATGTTACCCTTCACATCCATTGCTAGCTGCAACTCCAGTTGTGTTTTGGCCTTCCTCATTACACCCCTGCATGCTCGAGCAATATTTTTATACTCCTCCCTAGTCATCTGACCAAGTTTCCACTTCTTGTAAGGTTCCTTTTTGTGTTTAAGCTCAACGAAGATTTCACTGATAAGACAAGCTAGTCGCCTGCCATATTTGCTATTCTTTCTGCACATCGGGATGGTTTGTTCCTGTGCCCTTAATAAGTTTTCTTTAAAATACAGCCAGCTTTCCTGGACACCTTTCCCCCTTATCTTAGCCTCCCAGGGGATCCTTCCCATCCGTTCCCTAAGTGAATCAAAGTTTGCTTTTCTGAAGTCCAGGGTCCATATTTTGCTACTCTCCTTTCTTCCTTTTGTGAGGATCCTGAACTCAACCATCTCATGGTCACTGCTGCCCAGGTTGCCACCCACTTCTACTTCCCCTACCAATACTTCCCTGTTTGTGAGCAGCAGGTCAAGAGGAGAATGGCTCCTGGTTGGTTTCTCCAGCATTTGCACCAGGAAGTTATCCCCAACACTCTCCAAAAACTGTCTAGATTGTTTGTGCACTGCTGTATTGCTCTCCCAGCAGATGTCAGGGTGATTGAAGTGCCCCATGAGAACCAGGGCCTGTGATCTGGAAACTTCTGTTAGTTGTCCGAAGAAAGCCTCATCTACCTCATCCTCCTGGTCCGGTGGTCTATAGCACACAACCACCACGACATCACCCGTGTTGCTCTCACTTCTAAACTTAACCCAAGGACTCTCAACTGGCTTTTCTCCAGTTTCATACTGGAGCTCTGAGCAATCATACCACTCTCTTACATACAGTGGAACTCCTCCATCTTTCCTCGCCTGCCGGTCCTTCCTGAACAGTTTATACCAATCCATGTCACTTCTCCAGTCATGTGAACTGCCCCACAAAATCTCTGATATTCCAGTCACATCATAGTTCTTTGACTGTGCCAGGACTTCCAATTCTTCCTGCTTGTTTCCAAGGCTTCTTGTGTTTATTTACATGCACCTAAGAAAACTAGCCGATTGCCCTGCTTTCTCAGTATGAATCAGGAAGCCCCCCCCCCATTGCATCCTCCTTGTGTTTCCTCCCGATATCCCACTTCCCCACTTACCTCAGGACTTAGGTCACCATCCCCAGGCGAACCTACTTTAAAGCCCTCCTCACTAGGTTAGCAAGGCTGCCTGTGAAGATACTCTTCCCTCTCTTCGTTAGGTGGATCCTGTCTCTTTCTAGCAATCCTTCTTCCTGGAACATGCCATTGTCGATGAATCCAAAGCCCTCTCTCCAAGGCCAGCAGCATAACCACACATTTACCCTCACAATTCGACGGTTCCTACCTGGGCCTTTTCCTTCAACAGGGAGGATGAATGAGTACACAATTTTCACCTCAAACTCCTTTATCCTTCTTCCCAGAGCCAAGTAGTCTGCAGTGACCCACTCAAGGTCATTCTTGGCAGTATCATTGGTACCCACATGGAGAAGTAGGAACGGCTAGCAGTCCCAAGGCTTGATCAGTCTCGGCAGACACTCCATCACATCCTGAATTGTAGCTCCAGGCAAGCAGCACACTTCTCGAGTCTCTGTCTGGTCAGCAGATGGATGACTCCGTCCCCCTTAGGAGGGAGTCCCCGACCACCACCACTCATCTCCTTCTCTTGGGAGTGGTGGTCGTGGAACCCCCATCCCTAGGACAATGCATCTCATGCCTTCTGGTCAATGGGGTCTCCTTCTGATCCCTAGATTGCTCTTCCAAATCATTCTCCACAGTAGAACCTGTGCAGAGAACCTGAAAATGGCTTTGTACCTCTATCTGCATTGGGGGTACATGGGTTCTCCTCATTCTTCTTCTGGAAGTCACATGGTGCCTGTTTTCTTCCCTGTTCTGCCCTGCCCTCTCTGATTCTTTGGCATGTTGTGCCTCCAGAACCAAACGCTGACTTCTGTCCAGAAAGTCTTCATTTTCTCTGATGCAACACAAAGTTGATACTTGCATCTCTAGTCCTTTAATATGGAGACCAGTTTGCACTTTGTAGAGCTAAAGTCACTTCTGTCCTTTGGGAGAAAGATAAACATGGCACATCCTGTGCAGGTCATAACAGCTGATTGCTCAGTATCCATGTCTTCCTTCTAAATGTGTCCTCAGATGTTGTATTTACTTCTCACAGAAGCCTGAAAGGCAAAAACACTCTGAGGAAACTCCCCCAGGCAAACTCCCAGGCAATAGCTGATTCCTTCAGAGCCATTCCATGCCTCTGGGTCCCAATCTGGCTGCCTTGTTGGACAAGAAGCACTTCCATGCTGGGCAAATGATGGTAGCCAATAAGGGAATGTATCAGATTCCAAGCTCAGACTGCAGGATACGTGAATGCTGAGTCCAGAGTCTGTGGTTTGGTCTCTTAGATTTGCTATTAAGTCTAATGCATGTGTATTACTTCTCCTGCTGCTACTTTGAAAGATTAGCAAGTGTGAAAATAGAGCACAAAAAGGTGTTTTTTCTCATGATGCAGCCTTCCCACATAGTGTGAGACCCCTTCTTCCCACACTTATGGGAGAAGACCCAGGGAAAAATGAACTCACAGAAATGGAAGGCTCCTAGGTTATTGTAGAATGTGACTTCACACAAAGCTCATTGGGTGGAAATTGGAATCAAGAGAAAACTGCCCTATAGGTTTATATTTTGTAATTGTTGAATAAATTGTTACCAGTGACAATGAAATTAAAAATGAAGTTAATTAGTGTAATGTAAGAGGCTGATTATGTGATAACTTTCAGGGTTACAATATAATTCAGGTATCAGAGGGGTAGCCGTGTTAGTCTGAATCTGTAAAAAGCAACAGAGGGTCCTGTGGCACCTTTGAGACTAACAGAAGTATTGGGAGCATAAGCTTTCGTGGGTAAGAACCTCACTTCTTCAGATGCAAGTCTGAAGAATATAATTCAATATAATTCAGGTTTTCTTCTAGTTCTCTCCCTGCCCTGTCCTACTATATAGGAAATGGTGGCTAATCCTGAAATTAAAGCCTCATTCCAAAGGAATTAGAGTGGGGGAATATGTGAGAGAAATAGCATGTAGGAGAATAGAGACCCAGTAGAGACTGTAATTATTTCTATTTAAAATGGAATTTATTTTGATAAATTTTAAATCTTCTGTTAAGAGGAAAATTACTTGAGACAGGATTTGGAACCTTTTACCCAGTTAGAGGGTAGCTGCCACAGAGTTCTCCAGGTCTCTTGTTTGCAAAGCAAAGATGTCACATCAAGCAGATGTCAAAATCTAAAA